GTTTTTCTAATTACAATTACTTGTAATGCGTAAGTTACCAGTTACCAATTACTTCTAATTATAATTGAAAATGTAATCATTTGCGCTAAAGCCTGACATTTAGAACCCTAATATTTGGTGCATTTTTTAAGTATTTGATATAAAACTTTACAAATTTAAATTTTTATTTTTAACAAATTATTATTTGCGTAAAAATGGATAATAAATTTAAATGAAATCTTAAGATTTTTGTGGTAAAGCAGACAAATAATTATACTGTGGTGGAGCATTAGCTGGATCGTTATCATAATGTACATCAGCAATAAGTTTGCCCGATTTTTCATCATTCATACGACGTATATCTCTCCATAAAGTGTAAATGGCCCAGAAAATTAAGGCACCTAAACCTTAAAAACAAAATAACAAAATAAATATTTAAAAATTTATTAAAAAAAACTTTAACTCTAACTTACCAATACCAATTACACCGACTACAAAGGAAGTGAGTACCACTGACAGGGAAATACCATTTACCAGATTAAGTATTAGAGTGAATATAACTCTAGCACTATCAATTGCTAAACCCAGACCGTTTAGAACCAACCAGGGCAATATCAACTTGTGACGTCTCTGTAATAAAAAAAATTCAATAACAAATGCATGGGTTTTATAGGCAGGCGTTAGATATTTACCTTTGTAATGCCCACTATAAGGACACCACTTATAATGATCATAACTAAACATGCGGCCAGTATAGAGCTTATTAAAATTGTGCCAATTTCTAAAAGTTTAAGAACAACAATTTAGTTAAATTTATGACTCATGGTGCTTTTTTGGGGCATTTGTGGGAAGTAGTCTTTAGTTAGTTTAGACAGAAATTTTTAACAATTTTGCTTTTAGGATCAGCATTTCCGTAGGGTCTTTAGGGAAATGCTATAGAAAAAAATAAGAAACACATAAAGGTTTCTGCATTCCTATCGATATATATATATATATATATATATGTATATACATATATAAGACTATAGACTAGACTATCAACTAGAACATAGACTTGACTACAGACTAGACTATAGATTACACTACAGATTAGACTATAGACTCGACTATAGACTAGACTGTAGACTGGACTATAGACTAGACTATAGACTAGACTATAGATTATGGACTAGACTATAAATTATAGACTTGACTATATACTAGACTATGGTCTAGACTATAGACTAGCCTATAGACTTGACTATACACTAGACTATAGACTACTCTATGGACTAGACTATAAACTAGAGTATAGACTAGACTATAGACTAGACTATAGACTGGACTATAGACTAGACTATAGACTAGACTATAGAGTAAACTAGATTATAGACTAGTCTATACACTAGATTATAGGCTATACTATAGAAAGTACAGTAGAGTAGACTAAATACAAGACTATAGACTTGACTATAGACAAGAATATAGACTAGACTACAGTATAGACTAGACTATAGACCACAATATAGACTATATTATGGACTATCCTATAGACTAGACAATATACTAGTCTAGACTATAGATTAGGCTATAAACTAGACTATAGACTAGTCTAGACTATAGACTAGACTGGATTATAGACTAGACTATAGACTAGATAATATACCCGACTATAGACTAAATTATGGGCTAGACTATAGTGTAGACTACACTACAGTATAGACTATAGTGTAGAATAGACTATAGACAAGACTATAGACTAGTCTGTAGACTAAAGTGTAGACTAGACTAGACTATAGACTAAACTATGAACTATACTATAGACTAGACTATGGACTAGACTATAGACTAGACTATAAACTAGTCTATAGTCTAGTCTACTCTACTCTACTCTAGTCTATAGTCTAGTCTACAAACTATAGACTAGACTATAGACTAGAAGTAGCACTATAGACTAATATATAGACTAGACTACATTTGTGGCCTATAATATTTATATAATCAGGCGGACACTACTAAATCGACCCAGAAAATGATTTTAAACCCATTTTAAAGCAGTTTTTGAAGCAACATTTCAAGGCGTTAAGAAAATATAAGCCCCATGTCCGAAATAAAAGTTCTTGCTAGATTGAAGAATGTATTTTAAATTTAAATATTTTGCTGCCATTAAAGTCTTAGTATACTAATCTTAAAAAATGTGATGTTATCAATTTAATTAAGAAATAGCTGCAAAAAAATTATGTTTTGAAGATCATAAACCAAGAGCTGCATCTTATCACTATAAGGCATAGCAGACAGATTTATACAATTCTTAGAACAAAGGAAATTGTAACGGCATTTCCAAAGTGACTAAAAAAAAGCTAAATTGTTAATTTCAATTGAAACTGTCAGCTAATTGCTACATATAGAACTTGTTTCTACCCACTTATTGCTAATATTTATTTAAATTTTAACATTAAATTCCATAAATTACCGGCCGCCTTTTCCTTTTGCTCGATAGTTCTATCGAAACGTTCTTGTAAATTTTGTAGAAAGCCGATCATTACAACACATAAGCCGATATAGATCAAAATGTTAAGGAAGCCAATAATAACTCCAAGTGTGGAACGGCTGCAGCATTTCATTTTGTTTTTTTTCGCTTATGCTTTTAGAGTAAATTTCTTTTAAAACCCGCAACAATTTCGTTCACTAATCCCAATATATATTGAGTCAAACGTTGTCGAACAACTAAACTTTTCAATAATGAAATTGTAGAAATAAAGCTTTAAAAAGAATTGAGAATAATTGTGAGCACATATGGACTTTTGTGAGCACATTTAGTACTTTTTGGACTTTTTTCTGTACTAATATTTCTCCCTATTAGGGTATGTGTGTGTTCAGTTTCAGTGTATATTTATAATTGGTATATTTGTATCCTTCATCTTCGTGAGATATTTAAGTTCGTCATTTCATTTGTTATTTCTACAGAACAATTTTCTGACTCTGTAAAGTACATAATATAGATACATCGAGTTCTTATAGATATAGTCTATGTTTAGTAGATGTATGAGTATTTTAAATTTTTATTTTCAAAATAAATGCTTAACATAAATTTTACTACTTATTTGAAACTACTGAGTAATGGCAAGGTTGAGTCTGATATTCAACCTGTAAAGTTCCAGTAGCCGCACGGGGTTTGTTAATATTCTTCCTGCGTATACTTCTATATAGAGCAATAAAAAAGCAAAAAATTACTATTTGAAGAACTGGAAAAATAAAATGTATTAAAAAAAAATAACAAAACATTTTAAAACCGAAAAGCAAATACCTGTAATAATAATGCTTATAAAGATCAGCGCTATAAATTCACCGGTAGGTGCATTAACTACTAAAGCTATGAGATAACCATATGCAAATATCAAACAACTAAAGATAAAACCAACACCATATATTATTATAAAGGGAAGCAGGCAATTGTGACGTCTCTGGCAATATAAAAAAATCCAATGAGTTTAAAAAGGGTCTTCAAAATTAATGCATAAAAAAATCTTACCTTGGTGATACCCCATACAAGTAGACCAGATATAATACCTACTACTAGACATACGCCCATTACTATGCCAACTGTTAAAGATGCTTATATTTGAAAAAGAAAATTTAAATAAATTTATTATTTCCTTATGTATTTTTTATTACTTAAGGAATATGTTTATAGATTGGTCTATAGTCCAGCCTATAGATTTGTCTATAGACCTTAGTATAGATTGGTCTATGGTCCAGTCTGGACTATTGTGAGTGATCTATAGTCCACACTATAGACTTGTCTATATTCCAGACTATTGACTGGTCTGTATCCAGACTAGAGACTGGTCTATATCCAGACTACAGACTGGTCTATATCCAGACGGGTCTATATAATCGTCTATAGTCCAGATTATAGAGTGGTTTATAGTCCAGACTATGTAGTGGTCCATATAGTGGTCTATAGTCCAGACTAATGAGTGGTCTACAGTCCAGACTATAGGGTGGTCTACAGTAAAACAATAGACTATAGATAGGTCTATAGTCCAGACTATAGATAGGTCTATAGTCCAGACTGTAGATTGGTCTATAGCCCAGACTATATATAGGTCTATAGTCCAGACTATAGATTGGTCTATAGTCCAGAATATAGATTGGTCTATTGTCCAGACAATAGATTGGTCTATCGTCCAGACAATAGATTGGTCTATAGTCCAGACTATAGAGTGGTCTATAGTCCAGACTATAGAGTAGTCTATAGTCCAGACTATAGAGTGGTCTATAGTCCAGACTATAGAGTGGTCTATAGTCCAGACTATAAAGTGGTCTATAGTCCAGACTATAGAGTGGTCTATAGTCCAGACTATAGAGTGGTCTATAGTCCAGACTATAGAGTAGTCTATAGTCCAGACTATAGAGTAGTCTATAGTCCAGACTATAGAGTGGTCTATAGTCCAGACTACTATAGAGTGGCCTATAGTCCAGACTATAGAGTGGTCTATAGTCCAGAATATAGAGTGGTTTATAGTCCAGAATATAGAGTGTCTATAGTCCAGAATATAGAATGGTCTGTAGTCCAGACCATAGATTTGTTCATAGTCCAGACTATAGACTGGTCTATAGTCCCGACTATAGAGTGGTCTATAGTCCAGACTATAGATTGGTCCATAGTGCAGACTATAGACTTGTCTATAGTCCATCTTATAGACTTGTCTATAGTCCAGACTATATACCGGTCTATAATCCAGACTATAGACAAGTCTATATTCCAGGCTATAGATAAGTCTATAGTCCAGACTATAGACAAGTCTGTAGTCCAGACTGTAGACAAGTCTGTAGTCCAGACTGTAGACAAGTCTGTAGTCCAGACTATAGACTTGTCAATAGTCCAAATTTTAGACAGGTCTGTAGTCCTGATTATAGCAAGTCTATAGTCCATACAATAGACAAGTCTATTGTCCATACTATAGACAAGTCTATAGTCCATACTATAGACAAGTCTAGAGTGCAGACTATAAACAAGTACAGAGTACAGACTTTAG